GACATAGTCTCCAGGTGGGCAGGCAGCTGAAGACCCCCAGAGCTCTGGGTGTGCTCCTGGGGTGCTGCCCACAGACACTGGGGTGTCAGGTAAGAAAGAAGGGGATCAGCCCAGGGCAGAGACGCTTGGGGCCGTGCGGTCAGGGATGTAAGAGGTTAGAAGGGCTGTGCCGTTACCCAAGACTTTAGAGCAGGAGGCCCGGCTCACCTGGGCTCACCTGGGCTCACCTGAGCCTCAGGGACGTGGCTGCAGTCAGCCTGCTTGCCCCAGCTATGGGGTGCCCCTTCTCCTAACTCCCTGGGGGTGACCTCTGTGTCAGCAGATGGGTGTCCAGCTGAGTCAGAGCCCTCTCCCCAACCAGCCCCTACTCCAGGCTTGAGCAGGGCTGGTCTGAGGGACCAAACATGGGACCCCAGGGACTACAGTTCTCTAGAGGGAGGCATTGAGACTCACTCTGGGGAGGAAGCAGCTGCAGGAGGGACAGCCCTGGTGACAGGGTCCTGCCGGATGGTGACCTCCCGCCCCAAGGGCTCTCACTGAATGGCTCTGGGCACCTCATGTAGGACAAGCTGGGGCTCGAGTGGGAAATGGAAGTGAGTGGCTACCAGAATCATCTAGCAAGGTAAGAGCGAGCCAGCCACCTTTCAAATCATAGGACCACATGCTCATGGCTAACAACACAGAAGATTCTAGAAGGAGGCTGGGTTTCCAGTCCTTGCCACTTCCCAGGTGCCTCTGGCCTTGGAGAAGGAGGATAGGCAGGTAGTCCAAGAGAAGAGCAAGGAGGAGAGACGAACGAGTGTCCCGGCCCACAGAGGGTCAGGCTGGACAGTTCTGGGGCCCCAGGTTGGAGAAGGGGTGAGGGAGAGTCCAGGCTCCTAGGAGGAAGGAGCAGGGGGAGAAGCCCTGGCCGGCCAAGCAGGACCAGATCACCACCGGGGCCTTGGGGCCACACAGCAGGGCCTGGACTCTACTGAGGACAACAGGCAGCTTTGGAGCTGGTGAACGTGGGACTGACATTCCGAAAAGACCCTCTGCTGCTCCATGAGGTGTGGACTGTCGGGGTGGAGGCGGGGCCCAGGACAGGGTCAGGGAGGAGGAGGGCAGATGGTTTCTGACGTGGAGCCTGGGATGGCTGAGCCACACCTGCCATGGAAGTGGCTGGGTAGCCGCCTCGCCCCCTTCTCGTCCCCCACCTCTCCAGGGTTGGGAAACTGCCAGTACAGCTGTGGGATCCCTGTGGACTGTGACTGCACCTGTGGTGAGGGTTGGGGTGGGGGGTGGCGCAAACCACAATACAACCAGCTGGGAACTCCTGGGCACCCTGCCACAGCTGCCTGGTGATCACGGGTCTCAGTTTCCCCATCCGTCAAGGGAGCCGGCAGCCCTCCCAGGGATGATGCAAAGCCCAGGAGTGAGGCGAGAGGGAACAGGACGGGGCCGTCAGGTGTGCATCCGCCCAAGAGGCCCACAGGGCCCATATGGGCTCATAGCTGGGAGCCCCAGGGCCCCCCCACACCATGCCCAGGACGCTGTGGATGGCTGTGTTGCCTTCCCATCACCTGGGCCCCCATGACTCACTCCAGGCCCAGTGAGTGAGTCACTGGCTGGGGCTGCAGCAAGGCCCTCGGGCAGGACACTTCCTTTCCTGGGCCTCAGCTTTCCCAACTGTACAAGGGTTGGACAAGCATTGCTCTGCACACCCCACTGGGGAAACTGGGGTGATTCCCATGGCTGAGGATGTGAAAGTCAGAGAGAGGCTGCAGTAGAGTGAGGGCAGGACAGGACGTGGCCTCTCTGCCAGGAGAGAAACCAGGCCCTCCACACATCAATCCCCAGTCAGCTCTGGGTAGACTTGAAACACCCATGGCCCAGGCCCAGCAGCCCAGCGGGCTCCATGCCTCTTCCGGGAACCCATGCCTGGGAGACCTTGGAATGGGGGCAGGAAGGGGGCTCAGGACTCAGACGAGGTTCCCCTCGTCTCATGCCCACTGGATCCCGTAGGATTCCAATGATGAAAGAGAGGCCCAGTCGCTCCCAGGTTTGGCTGCCCTTCACTGGTCCCAGAGTGGGGGACGTGGAAAGAGGAAGTATGTGGAGGCAGGGGCCCGCACAGGGAGCAGGAGGAGGTCAGGGAGAAGTGAATCCGGGGAAGGGGCAGAGGCCATAGTCTGGCCATAAGTTGCAGCCTTAGTCCATATAGGTCTTATCTCCCTTGCCTTCCACAGTCGGCTGCTCATGCAGGAGATGGCTCAGCAAGAAAAGTGCTGTGATTGGCCAGCAATGTCTGCAGGAGACAAAGCTTAGAAGAGTTTTGGGATGGAGTGTCCTCTGTCTTCCATACCCAGCGGGCTGGGTGTGTGGTTGGAAGAGGCACCTGCCAAATGAGTGGCCACAGGCCTATCCCATTACTGCGAGAGGGAGGAAGGAAGCTGGGCTGATGCCATCTGAGCCCCCACTGCACTGCCCTATGCACTCCCTGGCCCGAGGCATGCGGTGAGAAAACCGCTGAGGATGGAGGTGAGGGCTGCCACCAGTCGGGCTCTCTTCTCTCCCTTGTGGCCTCCCCAAGCAGCCATAGGCAGTCTGCTCAGATCCCCCAGGCCCTGGCTGCCACCCTGCCCAGTCTTAAGCTCTGATCGTCCCACACATGACCCTCTCTCCTGCCAGGGCCGTTTGCCCCTCCGGGCCTGCACTCTCACCCACTATGGCCGACAGTTGAACAGGCACAGGGTGGCCACCCCAGAGCTGATCAGCTTCCCAGCATCGTAGTGTCCTTACCCAGGGCCCAGCACCCCCCTGCTGGGGGGAAGGAATGGGGGAGCCTGTTCCACCCAGAACTTGCAGTCACAGAGGTCCTGGGAACAACCAACAGGGACAGGTGAGCCCAGGGACCCGGAGGGCTGGGGGGCAGAAAGGGGATCCCACCAGTCCGTCTGTGGGAGCCCCTCCAGCAGGGGTGGGGGGCCTGTGTGTGTGTGTGCACAAGTGTGTTGGGTCCACGTGCAGAGATCTGTGTACACACCTGTATGCCGTGAGCATACATGGGTGCAGAGGGAGCTGTTGGTGCTTCGTGCTAATGTTGCAGGTGGCCCTACGAGGGCGTTGTGTACGGGGAGGGGGGGGGTGAGTACAGGCACACGTGGCTGTGGGTACCCATCCAGGAACTTGGCAGGCGGGACAGCTGCCAACCTTCCCATAATCCCCCTGCCCCCTGCCCGGCTTAGCCATACATTGTCTTGATGGGCACCCCACCAAAGAAGAAGCAGTCCCAGGGATCAAGGGCAAGCAGATTGAGTGTAGGTCTCAGCAGATCCCCGATGTACACCTCCCCTGGCCAGGTGGAGCTGCCCTGGGCAGCAGCTGGCTCAGTCACCAGCAACAGGCGTCCGGGACTAGAGTGTCCAGCCCTGACTCAGTCCCCACTCATCTCATTGTGGAGTGGGAGCTAGGCCCCTATTAAGATTCCCTGGAGGCTGGTGTTGTGACATAGTGGGTTAAGCTGCTGCTGTGACGCCGACGTCCCATATGCGCTCCGGTTCCGAGTCCCAGCTGCTTCACCTCTGAGCCAGCTCCCTGAGAATGCACCCAGGAAAGCAGCAGAGGGCGGCCCCAGTGCTTGGACCCCTGCACCTATGTGGGAGACCCGGGAGAACCTCCTGGATCCCAGCTTCAGTCTGGCCAGCCATGGCCATCGTGGCTATTTGGGGAGTGAACCAGCAGAAGGAAGATTCTCTCTCTCTCTCTCTCACCCCCAACCCTCTTGGAGTTAGCAGTGTGGTATATAAAACCACCACTTGCAACACTTGCAGCCATTTTGAGTCTCAGCTAGAAGGCCCAGGTACTTGGTGCCCTGCCACTCATGAGGGAGACCAGGATGGAGCTCCGGGCTCCAGGCTTCAGCCTGGTCCAGCACTGGTTGTTGCTGCCATTTGAGGAACCAGCAGATGAAGATTTTTCTGACACTCTGCCTTTCAAATAAATAAGTAAATCTCCCTCTTTTTTAAAGATTTATTTATTTCAAAGAGAGGTAGAGAGAGAGGTCTTCTATCTGCTGGTTCACTTCCCAATTGGCCGCAACGGCCAGAGCTGGACTGATCTGAAGCCAGGAGCCAGGAGCTTCTTCCAGGCCTCCCACGCAGCTACAGGAGCCCAAGCACTTGGGCTACCTTCTACTGCTTTCCCAGGCCACACCAGAGAGCTGGATTGGAAGTGGAGCAGCCGGGACTCGAACCGATGTCCAAATGGGATGCCGGCACTGCAGGCGGCAGCTTTACCTGCTGCGCCACAGCGCCAGCCCAAGTAAATCTTAAAAACAAAAAACAAAAAACACTCCTCTCCTGGTAGTGGACAGGGCAGCACTGAGCTGGGGTTGACTCTCACTTTCTGGGCATCCAGTTCCGGCTGATAAGGCCATCTGTGGCCGCATCCCTGCTCCTTTGGGACACAGCCTGCGGGTGCAGGATGAAACCATTCAAGTAGACTAACCCTGGCTCGCAAGCCTGGGGGCACGAGGCGAGGGCAGCTCCCGGACAGCTGGGAGCTCAAATCCTGAGTCCAATCCCAGGCCCCACCAACGCCAGCCCGGGTCGGGGCGAGGTGGCTTAGAGCTGACCGGCGGCAGCCAGAACAGCAGGGCCTGAGCGCGAGCTCCCTCCCGGGGCGCCTGGCCGTCCTAGCTCCGTAGGGAAGGCACGGCAGGTTCTGCGCACGCGCGACGCCAGAGAGGAGCCGCTTTGTTCGGGCGCTACCTGCGGATCCATTCACCTCCGGCGCCCCGCCCGCCCGCAAGCCGACACACACACTCGCGGAGGCCCCGCCCACTTCCCGCACGGGGTGGGGCCGGTGAAGGACCCCCGCCTTCCTCCCCCAACAGCCTCCCCTGGCTGCGATTGGTTATCTGCGCGGCGTGCGCCCGCCTGCCGTGAAAGCTGATTAGTGCACTGAGAGGGAGGTAGGCGAAGGAAAGCAGATTATAAAGACTCGCTCCCCTCCCACCCGCCCCGCGGAAAAGTCACGTGGCGCTTCACTCGGCGCCTGTCACCACCCCGCTTGTAAAGCTTTCTTAAAGGGCCCGCACTCACTTTCCAGGGTCGGTCCTTTCGTGGGGTGCCTCCCCGCCTCCCGCGGAGGGTGCGGCGGCCGCGGACCGTCCTAGCCAGCCAGACGCCGAGGCACTGAGTCCCCATCGGACCTGTGGGATGTTCCTCAAGGAACAGCGCCTGCGGCCGTGTGGGGGACGATGCGGTCGCCTGAAATGGTGACCGCCTTAGCACAGTGCCTGGCACGCCGCAAACGCTCAGCTTCCATGTGTTGAACGCACCTGCCTGAATGGAGGGTGCTGGGCGTGAGGGGAGAGGTTACCTCAGCGTGGCCGCCCCCCGCCCCATTCTCGGGGAGAGGCTGGTGTGAGTGTGGGGTGGGGGTGCCAGAGGTAGGAGACCTCCCGTGGGCACAGACAACCTGGGAGTGCTAACAGAAAGGGCTCGCGAGGGCGTCGGGCCCGGGCCCCCGGGCGGGGCGAGACAGCAGCGGCAGGCGGAAGCCTTGGAGCACCGGGCCCCGCACGCGCCCTGCGGGGAGGGGCGGCGGAGCGCGGCGCCTTTAAGCCCGGGCGCCGGCCCGCGGCCCCGCCCCCCGGAGGACGCCTCGGCGCGCGGCCGCCGGAGCCGCGGTTTAATTGGGGCTGTCAGGCCGCGGCGCGCGCGGAGGGCCGGCCGGGCGGGACAGAGGCCGGGAGGCCGGGGCGGCGGGCGCGCAGGGCGGCGGGAGGCGGGCGCCCGGAGACGCGGCTGGGGCCCGCGCGGCCGGGGCGCCGTCTCAGGGCCAGGTGCCCGGCCCCGGCCCCGGGCCGCCCGCGCTGCCCATGAAAAACCAGGTCCGCGGCCCCCCAGCGCGGTCGCACATGTCGGCTTCGGGGGCGGCGGCGGCTGGGGGTACCCGGGCGGGGTCGGAGCCCGGTGCGGGGTCTGGGGCCGGCGCGGGCACCGGGGCGGGCCCGGCGACGGGAGCGGGAGCCATGCCCTGCAAGAGCGCCGAGTGGCTGCAGGAGGAGCTGGAGGCGCGCGGCGGCGCGTCCCTGCTGCTGCTCGACTGCCGGCCGCACGAGCTCTTCGAGTCGTCGCACATCGAGACGGCCATCAACCTGGCCATCCCGGGCCTCATGCTGCGCCGCCTGCGCAAGGGCAACCTGCCCATCCGCTCCATCATCCCCAACCACGCCGACAAGGAGCGCTTCGCCACGCGCTGCAAGGCGGCCACCGTGCTGCTCTACGACGAAGCCACGGCCGAGTGGCAGCCGGAGCCCGGCGCCCCCGCCTCGGTGCTCGGCCTGCTCCTGCAGAAGCTGCGCGACGACGGCTGCCAGGCCTACTACCTCCAAGGTGAGGGCCGCCCCGAGACCCCCACGCGGGATCGGGGCTCCACGACGCCCCCGCTGCGGGCCATCTCCTCCCCCCACCCCGCCCCGGCCGGCGCCACGTCGCCCCTGGCCCGCAGCCGCCCTTCGGCGAGCCCGTCCCCCACGGAGTGGGCTGGGGCCCACGGGGCCCGTTTCCCGTCACGATTCGAGTGGGTGGAACAACTTTTCCCCGCCAGGTGTCCTTGTTTCCCCCGCGGATGGGCGACAGCGGCGCCCCCGGGCCAAGGGAGAGGCCACCTCCTGGAACCTGGAAAGCGGCAGGGCGCAAGTCCAGCCTGCAGAGTGTGTCCCTGTTGGGCCGGGGTCAGGGAGGCCACCCTTCACAGCGGAGTCCTGCCTGTGTGCCTGGGTCCGTTTAGGTTGGGGGTCTCTGGGATCCTGGCATGGCTCCCAGCACCCCGGGGATTGCCGCCTCTTGGAGGCGCTTGGGGCAGGGCGTAGGCAGTGTCCATTGGCCTGGCCTCTGGGGGCTCCTAGGTCCCCAGCTTGCCTTCCCAGGGCTTGCAGAAAGGGGAGGCAGTGCTGGGGGGGGGGGGGCGAGTGGCTGCGGCTGGTGTTTCCAATTAACATTCCAAAATGGCCTCTCACTGGCAGCGGGGCGGGTGGGAAGGGAGGGGAGGGGTGCAGCACCCTCGGGCCCTGCAGGCACCCCTTCATCTCTGCCCTCTCTCTGTGGCTCCAGAGGCCTCCCCTCCCACGGGTCCTAGGTTTGAGGGGCCTTGTGTCCTCATGGGGGTTCCTGAGACGTGGAGCTGGGACCCTTTTAGGGAACCTGTCGCAGCCAGTACCTTCACTGTGGCGGGGGGTGGACAACCCCCACTAGACTCCCAGGCCTGTCTGCCTCCTAACCTCTGTGCAGCTCTGGCCCCCGTGGCCTCCGCTGTGGGTAGGGTTTGCACACGCACAGATGCCGTCCATAGATGGGGTTGTCTGCTTTGCTTCACCACGGAGCTGTTACCGAGCCCGGGTGTGCAGGGAGCTACAGGGGAGCAGTGGGCAGGGCCATGTCCTCCAGTGCCCTGTGGCCAGGGGCCCTGAGCGTCAGGGTTAAGGGTTCCGGGTGTAGACGTGTTACTTCACGTCCTGGAGCCTCGGCTTCCTCATCTGTGAAGTGGGCATGGTTTAGGTGGAGAGAACCCAGGAGAGGGCACACGGGCAGCAGGCTGGGCATGGCCCACGTGGACTGCTCCACGTGGGGAGCCCATCTGGACGCTCGGCAGCCTCTCACCTGGGCCCGTCTCGCCCCGGCCACAGGTGGTTTCAACAAGTTCCAGACTGAGTACTCGGAGCACTGCGAGACCCACGTGGACAGCTCGTCCTCGCCGAGCGGCTCGCCGCCCGCCTCCGTGCTGGGCCTGGGGGGCCTGCGCATCAGCTCTGACTGCTCGGATGGCGAGTCGGACCGGGAGCTGCCCAGCAGTGCCACCGAGTCGGACGGCAGCCCCGTGCCGTCCAGCCAGCCAGCCTTCCCCGTCCAGATCTTGCCCTACCTCTACCTCGGCTGCGCCAAGGACTCCACCAACCTGGACGTGCTCGGCAAGTACGGCATCAAGTACATCCTCAATGTCACGCCCAACCTGCCCAACGCCTTCGAGCACGGCGGGGAGTTCACCTACAAGCAGATCCCCATCTCCGACCACTGGAGCCAGAACCTGTCCCAGTTCTTCCCTGAGGCCATCAGCTTCATCGGTAGGTGTTGCCGCCGCCGAGCCGAGCGGGAGGCTGCTGGGTGGGCGGGCGCGGCAAGGTGTGTGCGGGGACTCAGGGTGTCGCCCGCGCCCAACTGCGCACCTCTGGGCCTGTCGGGACTTGTGTGTGCCTTGCGTGTGCCAGCGTGTGCCCGTGGGTGTACCCGGACCTGCCATGAGTCATTGAGTCCTCCTTCAGGCCTCTACCTGTCGGGGCCTGAGAGTCCCCTGGGCCCCAGGCTCCCCCGCGTTCCCCCAGCCGCTGTGCTGTGGGCACCTCTGGGGCTGCCTGCTCTCCAGTTGGTGTTCTGGCTCCGCTGCCGTTCTGGGCATATCAAACTGAAACACCCCCGCTCGCAGGCCTCCCACGGTCTCGCTCATGCTGGATCACACCCCGGCACACGTGTCTCTCCAGGACCAGGTTGTCATGGTGCCTCTTCGGGCTTGGCTGAGTACCTGAGAGGGCTGCAAGGTAGCCCTGGAGCCAGGGAGCCCCCGATGTTCTCAGCAGCCTACCAGGCTCGCTTGGAGTGTGGGGGTGTACAGAGAGGGAGGCTGGGAAAGCCCTCCTCCTGAGCCCGCCCCTGGCCCTCAGATGCCCCTCAGACCCAGTCCCGTGTCCTTGGGCTGCTGGGCGGCAGGGCCTCTCCCCGGCCCCAGGCCTCGCCCAGCCGTGGGGAAGGGACGAGGTGGACTCTGTATGCCTGAGGACCCAGTGTTCCTGGGTCTGCCTTCTGCGGCAGGCTTGGGGGGCTGGGCTGTCATGTCCCAGTGGCAGCTGTGTCCAGTGGAGGGCGTTTGGTGTCAGCTGGGCTGGGCTGGCGTTAATAACAGGAAGTGGGGAGCCCCCCCCCATCCGCTTACTGGGAACCAAAACTAGGTGCCTGGCTGGGAGGAAGGAAGCACGCTGAGGCCTGGGGGAAGGGCCGCCTGGAGCTTCCAGCCCTGCCCTGGGGTCACGGCCAAGGGGGCTGTGGGTGCTGCCTCAGCAGGGGAGCTGAGCCTGGCTTGTGGGTACCTTTATCCCTCCCGAGGGCCCCCACATCTGGGGGCGATAGAGCAGGATGCAGAGGGGTGGGGTATGTTTTTTCCCACTTGACTAGTGACAGGTAGAGGCCCTGAGCAGGCCCTGGGGCAGGGGGACAGGGTCTAACACCCGCCACACCTGAGAGGGCAAAAGATAATAGCAGAAATTGTTGTGCTTTGGATCACCTGGGAGCGAGTTTGGGGCCCCTGGCCTTCCCCGCACCCTTGTGTGTCACCCCAGACCCCAAGGTCAGACCACACAGCTGTCTCCTGCCCTGCTCCTGCCTCCCCGGCCTCAGCTAGTCCCCGAGTCGGGGTTAAGTCTGATCCTGAGCACCCCCAGTGGGTGGAGGGGTGAAGAATTGGGGAACCTGTGGGTTACCCTGTGGGCAAGCACTGACCAAGCACCCGCTGTGTGCCAGGCTCCCAGTGGGGCCCAGAGGGGCAGCGGCCGCTCACCTCCTCTGTGCCGGGCTGAGGGGTGTGAGGGCAGCACCGGACACTGGCAGATGTGGCCGTGGTGGGAAATGTGCTGGCATGCAGGCCTGCGGGGGGTGGGGTGGGGGTCTGCTGAGTGTCAGGAGCCCACGTGGCAAACCCCACCTGTGACGTGTCAGGCGTGGCCATCATGCGAATCCCTGGGTCTTCCAAGCTGGAGCTCAGGCCTAGGGGACCATCTGGGCTGGGCAGGGCCACCCACTTCCTTCCGGAAGAGCCTCCTGCGAGCCTGCTTCCTGGGAGGCTGTGGGAGCACCCATGGGGGCTGCACCATGAGGGCAGATCCCACCCCACGCCCAGCAGGTGCTGGGTCAGGAGGAGCCTCCGGGTGGCCCAGGCTCGGCACACTGTCTCTGCATCTGCTTCCACGTAGATAAAGTGGGGCTCTGGCCGTGGCACAGACCCAGGAGGGTGCAGGGGGCCCTCAGCAGCTGTCATGGGTGGCAGCAGGAGAGGTCGCAGTGGTGACCATAGCTCGTGCTTATCAGGGCCTCTCGCGAGTGGTGTCAGTGATGGGCCCACTTTACAGACGAGGACGCTGTGGCACAGGGCCGACCAGTGACTGGGAACTAACGCACAACAGAGCCCCCTCCGCAGCTCCCAGTGGCTGTCCCATCTGTGCCAGGCTGGCCGGGTCCCTCGGTAGGCGGCACCAGCCGGTGGCCTTGCTGCCCTCCGGGCCTGGCACCCCACCCCACCCCACCCCACCCCGCCAGGAAGGCTGCTCCCTGACCCATGCCTGTGTGTTTCAGATGAGGCCCGCTCCAAGAAGTGTGGTGTCCTGGTGCACTGCCTGGCAGGCATCAGCCGCTCAGTAACGGTCACCGTGGCCTACCTGATGCAGAAGATGAACCTGTCACTCAACGACGCCTATGACTTCGTCAAGAGGAAAAAGTCCAACATCTCGCCCAACTTCAACTTCATGGGGCAGCTGCTGGACTTTGAGCGGACGCTGGGGCTAAGCAGCCCGTGCGACAACCACGCGCCCAGCGAGCAGCTCTACTTCTCCACGCCCACCAACCACAACCTGTTCCCACTCAACACGCTCGAGTCCACGTGAGACCGCGTGCGCGGGTGTGCAGCTCAGTGCCCCTCCCGGCCCGCGCCGGGGCCAAGTGGGAGGGCCCAAGCCTGCTGGCCCTGGCCTGAGGAACACATAGACGCCACCCATGCCTGGGTCCCAGGCGGAGGCCTGCCTCTCGGGACTTGCCGAGGCCTGCAGAGCTCAGACACGGCCTGGGGGACCGCCGGGGCCTCTTGGGCCCAGAGCACCCTTGTGCTGCCGGCCTGGCCACTGGGGCTGGTTTTTAAAGACGCATCGCGGCCCTGAGTTTACTCCATACTTGGGGCACCTGAATCCGCGCTCCCTGGAGCACAGAGAATGTGCGAGCTCTTCTTGATTTCTCTTTTTTTTTTAATGGGAAGTATTATTTTCAGGCTCCACGCAGCGGTGGATTGTTATCAACCAGTATTTCATCCCTTTCTTGGTCCTGCGAGAGAGAGAGAGAGAAGCGTTCTCAGTTTCATTCTCCCCACTTCAAAAAAGCATTATCGGTGTGTTTCACTTCCGTTTTCCAATGGGAAAGACAAACCCCGCGTGGATCTTGACCAAATGCATTTTGCACATGTGTGAAGCCTCCGTTTCCTCGGCAGACCCTGCGGGTTGTGGTTGGTGGCCTGCACGGGGGGTCTCGGCGTACTCTGCGCTCCCATCGCCCCTCTGGAGGTCCCTGCCCGAGGCAGAAGGTGGGGGGCCCTGCTGCTGTCCTAGCGGAGTGGCACCCAGGGGACTGCCAAGCAGTAGCATTAGCCCTCTGGGCTCAGCTCCCGGGAGCTCCGAGCCCGGGGCCCTCTTGTGCACACGACCCCTCCTCTGTCTCTTCCTCTCTCGCTGGGTGTGGGGGGGAGGGCAGCCCCACCCCTCACCCCACGGACACCTGCCCTGCCCTTTTCCTTGTCCCATGCCTTCTGCCACCAGGAAACCTGCACCCATTTCAGCCCCAGGGCAGGGGCAGGCAGGGCACGGATGGATGAGTGGCAGGGGCATAGGCTCTGTCCGTCCCACCCCAGTCCCCGCAGAACAAAGCCACGGATTCCGTTACTCCCCTCCAGTTTTGTTCCTTTTTCAACCTCGGTTCCACCCAGCGTCAGGACTGCATGGGAGCTGGGGTCCCTGCTGGAGCCAGCACTCGGCGCGGGAGCCAGGCCACGGAAACTGCACCCCTACCACGTCTTACCTCACGGGGGTGCTCTTCAGGGATGCTCTCGGGCAGCGGGTTCAAATCTTGCCACAGTCGAGAAATTGACAAAAAGCTCCCGCGCTGTACATGGTTCTCTTTTTCTCTCTCTCTCTCTTTTTAATTTTTAACAAGACAAACCCAGAACGATGTATCAGATTTGTGTGAGCGAGGGCGTGCCCGAGGGTGGCCAGTTTCGCTTTCTGACCGTATGAAGGAAGATTTGTGACCCTACATATATATACACACACACACACAGACGTATATAACTCCTGAGCCAGCAACGGGAGTTTGTTTATATTGCAAATAAATATTATTTTTTCTTTAAAGTGAGTCATGGTTTCTGGGAAGGTATGGAGGGGGCCTGGGCCTTTCCCAGGGACCGCCCAGCACCCGCATAGACCAAGGTGCCCCACAGATGGAAGGGAGCCAGCCCCCCAGCTACCCATCCTGCTGGGGTTCTGGGCCTCCGGACAGGCTCCCATAGGCAGCCACGTGTCACCTATGGGTGGGGAATGGCGCTTCCACAAGGCTGCCGTCTCCTCACTACCTGCACCAGGTAAGTTCCTGGATGCTGACTCAGTTTCCCTGTTTCTGCTTCTACCTGGCTCTGTCCCTCAAGCAGACTGCCGGGTTAGCACTGGGCTGGCCCCAGGTAAGGTGGGCCAGCAGAGCCACAGGGGTGAAGGCTGCTTGGCCCCTTTCCATACTGGGCTGCCCATGAAGCTCGAGGGCCCGTGTCCCCGCCCCAGCTCTGGTTCTGCCACCACAGGCCCTGGATTCAAGCCTGTGTGACCGGCAGCCCTCACCTGTGCCACCCGAGAACAGAGGAGCTGCTGTCCAGGCCGCAGGCCCGCGGGGGAGCGGGGTTCTCGCAGCGGCCCTGGCAAAGCGGCGGGCACTGCTCTTGCCCTGGGCTCCCTCGGGCACTGGTCCTTCTGTGCCAGGGGCAGGCAGAGGGGTGGGGGCCCGTGCGGGCAGAGACTGGGCCTTTGTTCCCTCTTGCTGCCCTCATCCTTGCCTGGGGAAGCCCGCGGGGGCTGGGCTGGGGGCTGGGCCCTCGGCGGCCGGGTGTGCGCCTGGCAGTGCCAGCGTGCCCAAGCACAGGACGGGGTGGGAGAGCAGCCGCCGCCTTAGCTGGCTCCCCCGGCTGAGGACTGGGGCTCGGGGGTGCACGAAGTTGGCCAATCCTGGTACACAGCTCCCCTGCCTGCAGTCAGCCCAGCGGTCTCGCTGACCCTCAGGGCCGCCCTCTCTAGAGATTCCATCTCAGTACTGTGCGTGGTAGCGTCCCCCCCGGGTGCCGTAGCCCTGAGTCCTCCCTCAGTGACCTTGGGCTGGGCCTCTGTCTCTCACGGCCGGCGGGTCCCCACCCAGGGATCCCAGGCTCCCCCACTGGGCTCCTGCTCTGCTTTGCCGCCAGGGACTCTACCCATTCCAGGCCATCCTGGACAGAGGCCCTGACACCCAGCTGCCCTCCATCTCCACCCTCCGTTCTATCTGTCACTCCCCTCCCCACCCTCCCTTTGCCCCCTGGGTCCCTGGTTCTGTCCCCAGGCCTGGGATCTCCTCACCCACGTCTTAGCTGCGTCGCTTACTCACTGGCACATTCATCCAGCAGCCATTTCCTGTGCCGGCTGGGCAGGCCCCAAGGAACACTCCCGTGCTGTCAGGCGGGGTGGCAGGGTGACGGGGCCCTCAACATGTCCTCTGACACGTGAACCAGGTGCAGGCACAGCAGTGGTGTAGGCAGTACAGCAAGGAGTACTCAGGGCCCTGTGGCGTGGTCACTTGAAAGAAGTATGACAAGGAGACCCCAGAAAGCAGCATTTCCCCGGGGTGTCCCCGCTGAGCCTGGGGGTGGGGCAGGCGCTGCCTGTTTCGGGCCTAACTGTGCCTGGTGAACAACGGTGGGCCTCGCTCGGTGCTGGGCACCACTGCTTAGTGCCCTGCCTGCCCTGGGCTGCTCTACATCCAGTATGGATGTGGCTGAGGCGCCCAAGGCCTCGCAGAAGCCAGAGGGCCCCTGGAGAGCCAGCTGTCTCTGTTCACCTCTGGGCAGCCTACTGAGGGGCTGCCTGGGTCCTGCTCTTGGACTGTGTTTTTTTTTTTTTTTTTTTTTTTTTTTTGGCAGGCAGAGTGGACAGTGAGAGAGAGAGACAGAGAGAAAGGTCTTCCTTTGCCGTTGGCTCACCCTCCAATGGCTGCCGCGGCCAGCGCGCTGTGGCTGGTGTACCGCGCTGATCCGATGGCAGGAGCCAGGAGCCAGGTGCTTTTCCTGGTCTCCCATGGGGTGCAGGGCCCAAGCACCTGGGCCATCCTCCACTGCACTCCCTGGCCACAGCAGAGAGCTGGCCTGGAAGAGAGGCAACCGGGACAGAATCTGGCGCCCCGACCGGGACTAGAACCCGATGTGCCGGCGCCGCAAGGCGGAGGATTAGCCGCCTAGTGAGCCGCGGCGCCGGCCTTGGACTGTGTTCCTCCTGCTTGGTCTGGGTGCCCCCCAAGGACACAGCCCTCCCAGCCCTGCTCAGAGGCCTCCTAGGATGGCGCCCAGCTGCATGTTGTAGACCAGGTCAGGGGAGAAGCTAGGCCACCCCACAGCCCTGAATCTGCACCGGGCCCTGGCCTTGCCTCCTCCATCAGGCTGGGAGCTGTCTCCTTCTGGCTGTCTGGGGACCACACACACACAGAGCCTCTCCTTGGCTCTCAGACTGGACAAGCCCAAGCAGGTCCCGTGGCAGCCGAGAAGCCACCTGCCTCTGACTGGGACTCCTCTCCTCAGGGTGCGTCCCGGCTGACGTCAGCGGCCATTAGAGACCATCCCTGGGAACTCCTGGAGGCCTCGGTCCCCAGGTCGCGGCCTGGACAAGGTGAGCCCCGACTGGTGACACAGGACTGTAGCCCCGGCCAGAGCCCCTCTTTGCCAAGGTGACCAGCCCCCCACCTCACCCCCCGCGCCCAGGGCTGCTCTGTCGCCCATCTCTGGGGTGTTTCCCACCCTGCAGCTGCTGTGCTGTGTGGGGTCTTCACTCGCCCCCTCCATACCCACGCCTGACCCTCTGGCCTCATGGCTGCGGGAGAAGCCACAGAGCCCTTCCTCGGGGCTTGGGGGCCAGGCAGGAGCCTCTGGAGGGGTTGGCAGGGTCTGAGCGTCACCATGGAGACCCGTTGGTCGTTGAGCACAAGGGAGCCAGCAGGGCAAGTGTGTGGGTTGGGACACCGAGGAGGTTAGGACCGGCGCTCCAGAGGGGTCAGGAGGGCTGGACCATTTGTGAGCAACAGGAGAAAGTGCGAGAAGCACTCGTCGGCAGGTCCAGCAGGACTCGGGCCCACGGTGCGGCCTGCGCCTGAATGCCAGTCTCCAGGCCGGGCAGAAGGCTGGGCATGGCCAGGGGATGCGTGGGTCCACAGGTACCCTCTGCACCCCCGCAGAGGAGCTGGGGCTGAGGCTGGAAATCCTGGGGGTTGACCTGCTGGAGCTGTCCCCAGGCCCCTGCGTGGAGGGACGGAGTGTGTCTCGCGCATGGCGGGGCTCTCAGAGTGGGGGTCTCCCCTCGTCCTGGTTCCGCAGCCCCTGGGGGCAGGGAGTCTTGAGGTAGGATCTCGGCTTCCCTCCCTGCGCCCAGCTCAGACGGGATGTTTCCAGGACAAGCACCTGCACTCCGATTTTCGTTTTTCTGAACTGGCTTCAGCAAGGAAAGCAGGACCGTGTGTTTGGCTGCTCCCTTGGCTGGTGCAGAGCTTAGAGTCACTGGGCCAGACACTCACTAGGGCCCAGCCACGTGCCGGCACGGCCCCTCCTGGCCGGCCCCGCCTGGGAGCCGGGCTGCCACCCTGGTGCTCTGGCAGCTCCAACAGCAGTGAGAGCAGTAACGATCATAACACACATCCTGCAGCTGCGCCGATTAACTCCCAACAGCCCTCGGAGGGAGGGGTCAGGTTAGCCTGTGGGCAGCTGAGGAAGGGGAGACGCGTGCCGGGAAGGAGCCGCGCTGGGGTCCGGGCACGGCTCTGACTCTCCCTGGGCCTCTGACCCTCTTTCACCCCTGCGTCACCTGGGGAAGGGGGAAGCAGCAGCTGGGAAGAAGGAGCCGGAGCCTCCTTGGGGAAGGATGAAGGTGCAAGTGTGGGGGACCTGGGCTGGGCAGGGGAGGCAGAGGAGAAGAGCTGGCCTCCACCCCCCGCCCCGGGAGGAAGGCTGTGCGGGAGGAGGCCATTCTAGAGCGTGCAGGGTGCAGGAGCAGGGTCAGGATAGGCACCTGTGCTGTCTTCCTCCTCCACCCCCCTACCCCTGCTTCTGTTTGACACCTCTGTCTCATCTTTCCCTGAGCATCGCTCAAATGCCTCTTCCTCCAGGAAGCCTTTCCTAGCCTCCTTCCCCAGCTGGGATTCTGCCCCCACCACCACCACCAGGGTACTGGGTCCCGGTGGGCATCATCAGCCCCTCGGGCTGTAGGTCTGGGGCCCTCTCTGGGAGCCTGCCCTGCTCTGGGGTCAGGCCTGTGTGACCTGTGCACAGGGAGGTGTGGCTGACTCCCTGGAGGACTAGGCCCCTGTGTCACCTTCTGGGTCCAGGTCACAGTGATTCTACACCTGCCCAGGCCTGTAGAGATGCCAAGCAGGCGGGGCTGAGGCCCTCTGCGCCCCTGACCAGTCTCCTGCCCCTGCCGCCGTCCTGGCCGCCTCTGTGCCCACCCGGAGCGCCCGCCACCTCTTGGCTGGGCTCCAGCCGAGAAGGGTCTGTTTAGAAAGATCTGCCACTGCCACAGCAGAGTGGAGGGGTCTGGAGGCCACGCTAATTGATTAATTAAACCCTTTCGGTTAATTAGCTCCGTCCCTCTAGGGAAAAAAAGAGCCAGCACCTCCTCTGGGCTGGGGGAGGCTTTGCTGAGCCAGGGTCAGGCTGGGCCTGCTGCCCGCTCCTGGGGGCCGTGGAGAGCCCGAGGAGGGGTGGGGGGATCCTTCTGGGCACCCCAGCTAGGCCAGGAGCGGCCGCTCCTGAGCCTCAGGGTGGAGGATGGCTGCAAATGTAGGGGGAGGGGCTGGACCTGTGGGAGGCCGGGGCGGAGGCTGTTCGGTCAGGCTCCTGCGGGCGTGGGAGGCCAGGAGGGCACGGTGCAGCCAGGAGGTCAGCGCCTGCTGGGTGGCCTGGGGCCGCCAGCTTCCCTTCTCTGGCCCTCTTCCGCCCAATCCCCCAGGTGTGGGAGTGAGGGCGGGAAGATGTTCCTGAGGCCACAGCATGGGGACGAGAGTCCCACTGGCAGCCTCCTTGCCCTGGGATACAGCACTGCTGTGCCTCCCACCCTCAGCCCCTGTGGTGCGAGCA